GTTACTCAGTGAGTGTCCCCCATAGTGCGGTTACTCAGTGAGTGTCTCCCATAGCGTGGTTACTCAGCGCGGTTACTCAGTGAGTGTCCCTCATAGCGCGGTTACTCGTTGAGTGTCCCCCATAGTGCGGTTACTCAGTGAGTGTCCTTATGCGCGGCTACTCAGTGAGTGTCCCCTCTATAGCCGCTGTTGGCCAAAGTGCGAGTTCTGCTACGCTGGGTAAGTTACTCAGTGAGTGTCCCCTCATAGCGCCGGTTACTCAGTGAGTGTCCCTCATTAAGAAGCGCCGTTACCAGTATAGTCCCCTCATAGCCGTTACTCAGTGAGTGTCCCCTCATAAGTAGCTGGTTACTCAGTGAGTGTCCCTCATAGCGCTGGTTACTCAAAGTGAGTGCTCACCAGGCTGTACGGAAGTACTCAGTGAGTGTCACCGCGAAGCGCTGGGCGTACTCAGTGAGTGTCTCCCATAGTGCGGTTACTCAGTGAGTGTCCCCCATAGCGCGGTTACTCAGTGAGTGTCTCCCATAGCGCGGTTACTCAGTGAGTGTCACTCATAGCGCGGTTACTCAGTGAGTGTCCCCCATAGCGCGGTTACTCAGTGAGTGTCTCCCATAGCGCGGTTACTCAGTGAGTGTCACTCATAGCGCGGTTACTCAGTGAGTGTCCCTCATAGTGCGGTTACTCAGTGAGTGTCCCCCATAGTGCGGTTACTCAGTGAGTGTCTCCCGTAGCGCGGTTACTCAGTGAGTGTCCCTCGTAGCACGGTTACTCAGTGAGTGTCCCCCATAGCGCGGTTACTCAGTGAGTGTCCCCCATAGCGCGGTTACTCAGTGAGTGTCCCCCATAGTGCGGTTACTCAGTGAGTGTCCCCCATAGTGCGGTTACTCAGTGAGTGTCCCCCATAGTGCGGTTACTCAGTGAGTGTCTCCCATAGCGCGGTTACTCAGCGCGGTTACTCAGTGAGTGTCCCTCATAGCGCGGTTACTCAGTGAGTGTCCCCCATAGCGCGGTTACTCAGTTAGTGTCCCTCATAGCGCGGTTACTCAGTGAGTGTCCCCCATAGCGCGGTTACTCAGTGAGTGTCCCCCATAGTG